TGCTTTAAATTAGCTTAAGTTATTAACATTGAATTATAAGGTTTAGGCTTCTGATAATCGTCTTGAAAATTATATTTATGTAGATACTGAGCCTAAACAAGTTTTGATACATTTGGGAAGTAAGATTGATCGAGGGAAAGACAATGAGATATAGGTGAGTGCATATGCATAGCATGATTATAGTAACATATTCAGCTTTAGACTTGTGATAAGTCTAATTCCAAACCTATTAGTGCATGTTTTCATTTCGTTATATGATACATGATCTGAATTCATATGATATGCTTTATATGGTAAGGATCTATGTGAATATGTATGAAAATTTGTATGAGCTATGTGATAAAGGTAAGCATTTATTATCTATGAGATATAAACTACGTGAAATGTAAAATCCCATGTTATGTAAATGAGAGCTATAGGTATAATTGGCATGCCAAGTGTAGAGGGTTTACGCGGTCCTTCGGGACATATATATATACTTGGGAACATTTATGAGGTCCTTTGAGACACATACTTGTTCCTTGGCATATGTATATGATTCTTAAGGAATTTTTATGTGGTCCTTATGGACATCTTATATGGAACTTCGGTGCAATTCTACGCGGTACTTCGGTGCAATTCTACGTGGCACTTCGGTGTATTTATACGAGTTGTGGTGAAAGCATAGTGCACAACCTCATTGTACTCATATACCTTAGGTTCTCAGTATTGTATCATGGGCTAGTGAACTTATTAATATGAATTTTTTATGGTTAATTTGATAAGATTATGGGTAATATACATGGTTATGTAACTTGCATGGATTAAATATGTGTTTTTATTACACTTTATTTCATTTATGGCATTATCATTATATTTTATTTTTATTATTATTATTATGTCTCACTAAGTCGATGACTTAGCGTGTGAGTGTTTCACACGTAGGATTCGAGAAGGTAGACGAGAAAGGTTAGACAGCTGGGACATCATCTCTCACAACTATCATATCAGGAACACCTTAAATAGTAGGTCATTTGTTATGTAAATCGATGTTGGCATGTAATTAAATATTTAAGTTGTGTATGCTCTGAGTATTTTGTGAATTTTGTATAAACCTATGTATATTAACGTATTTTCTTAATATAAGTCCAAATGTTATGTGATTTTGTTAAGAATAATGTTTTAAAAGGTCAATGTGACATCTCAGACTCGTATCCGGGTCGGGTACGGGTTGTGGCTGTTACAATATTGCCATCATAATTCACCATAACATTTTTGCACTACCATTGAACCCCTATATGCACACATTCCATTTTGCCACAACTTTTTCAATTGTGTATATCACCTCGCTATCTATACTTAGATAATTTAGTATTTGTGCTTTAACTTAACTTGCAATTTCCTCCAATCCCTGTGGGAACGATACTAACTCATCATTTTATTACTTGTTCGATTGTGTATACTAGCACATATTTTGCGTCCAATTTATAGTACTCACAGCACGCAACATGTGTTTATAGAACCTTACTTATGTATTTGAGTTGTTTTAAATTATGTGTCTTGGAGCTTTTTTTATAAAATATTTTTATAATAGTTAATTATGTTTTACTTATGATACCATTCAATATGTTTGAAAAGAAAATGAACGGGTTTTGAAAATCAGGGGTTGCCTCGGCCATAATTGGACCATGACATAAAGGTTGTTGAAGTTAACTTATAGTGAGAGAAGAGAAATTAGGGGAGAGTCTAAAGAGATGTGACCTAATTTAAGACTAAGGAAATATGCGATCAAAAATGTTATAAAAATCATAACATTTTAGGTTGGGTGCAACTTAAAATGTCAACTTTTTCTTAACATTTTTCGGTTGAAAACCTTCTTTGTAATATTTTCGGTGCCCAACCTAAAATGTTTTGATTTTTATAACATTTTTGGTAGCACCCAATTACTGTTGTTCTTGAGCTTTAAATTAGACTGTCTTACAACAGAACTATCCAAAAAAATTAGGGGGAAACTTGATCATAAAAGGGAACTGAAAAGTTTGTGCAGAAATTTAGGTCTTAAACCTCGTTAAGCTAACCTATTTGGGGTAAATAACTTAAAATTAATTGAAGGCATTCCACTTCTTGGGGCTGTTACAATGTGAATGGTTTAGCGAGTTGCCTTTCTGGCCATGCAATGGACGTGTTTGCATATATGGCCATGCAATGGACGTGTTTAGGGTGATGTCTAGGGAAGGACACATAATTTTGTGCTAGGAGGTGAATTTGAACTTATAAAATTTTAGGGTGATAAATTTAAATTTATAAAAGTTCCGAAAACATATTTTCAATAAAAATACATAAAATTTTAAAATATAATGTAATTTTAAATTTCCAAAGGGACGATTGCCTCCCATCTATCCGGTTTCTATGTTCACAAAATATGACTACTCCAATTTGCAAGTGTCATTGGTGTAGTTTGTTTCCCTTTTTTTCCATATGTTATATGATAATTCTAACTTCATAATAAATCTTTAATACGAACTCATCAAGTGGCTTAGATAATTAAAGAGAATATTGTTTTTCTTTTATATTTTGGGTTCAAGCATCTGCGACTAAAGATAGACATGTGTGGAATTGGGTCAAGTTTCTAGTCAACCCGAGCTAACTCGAAAAATATACATCCTCCACCCGAAACTCGACCCGAACCCGATCTGCATTTTTAGGTAAAACCCGAATCCGATCGGAAATAAATATATTTATAAATAAAATATTAATTTTATTCGATAAAAATAAGGATTTAATTGAAAAAATAAATAAATGGGTGTTATTATAATTATCCCTAAATATATGAAGTAGAATAACATTACTTTTTGAATCCAGTCGGGTCAAGTATTTTTTTACCCTAAATTCGAGCCCAACTCCACCCGAACACATCCACTAAAAATCCAACTTGATCCAACTTGAATCTAATTCTTTTTTTAAAAAAAAAACCGACCCAATAAAATCACATCGGATCAGAACCTATTGAATTCGAGTTTCGTGTCCATCTCAATATACTTCTACATATATATAGACACATTATCATTAATTAAATTTATTTTAAACATATACCATATTATATTCGAATTATCCCTCTAGTTAGTTGGCACGCCAAGATTTTCAAAATATATCCAAAGACTTCTAGTTAAGCTCAACCTCTTCTCTTTTCATCTCTCTTTCTTCCTATTCCACGAACCCTGAAAATCCATTAATTCAACGTCGTCGTCTTCCTCCAGTCAGCATCATGTCATCATCGCAGGGATCGTATCTCGGTGAAACACTCTCCAAACATACATCGTTTCTCGGCCTTCGATTATGAGTCTTGATCGTCACATTCATAGCACTCTTCATTCTCTTCTTCTTATCCATCATCTCTTGTTATCTCATCTGTTATCGACGTAGAAAGCCCTGCAAAGCCCCGTTTTGTTTACCCAATCCCATCGCCCCCGAGAATTATCGAAGCGCTTATTGCTCTTCTTCGCTCAGTAGGAGGCTGCTTCCGATCAACGTTTCGGAGATCAAGATGAACACGACGGAACCTGAGCTTGAAGTGATGTTTCCCGACTAGTGGTCTACTCGTGCTAGTGGTACGACAACTCCCCGGAGTTAGCTGCCCGAGTTGGAGCACTTTCAGAGGCTATCCCATGGAGTTCCCGAAACTCGGACGAGTTACCGGTTCAGTTCGAGGGATGTCGACGTTTTCACCGACGGTTTCTCGTATGATAATCTTATCGGAAATGGGAATAATGGTGCCGTTCACCATGGCGTTTTGTTTGATGGTACCACTGTGGCCGTGAAGTGTCTACTCAGTGACAGGTAACTCTTTCTTCATCAGAGATTTAAATAGAGGGGCCATTATATAACTGTCACATCTTTGTGAAACTCGGATGACAGCTAAATAGAAGATAAAATTTAAAAAAGGCTAAACTTTTTTATCAACTTTTATAGAGGGAAAAGAGAATTTTGTTTTGGGTAACTTTCATAATTTCTAATTGAATTTTATATTTTCTCTCATTTTATTTATCTTACTTTTAATTTTTATATTTTGATTACTAAACTTTTGATCACTTATAATTATTTTATTATTATTTTGACGTGACATTAAATTTTTTATTATTATTTAGTATATAATTATTAAATTTATAAAATAAAAAATAGAAGGTGATCGGACGTCGATTGCCATGATGGTGTCCATTCAATCTTAAATTTTATGGGTCGATTTTTCTCGACCCCCTGAGTTCGAATTCAACGGTTGTTTCACTGGAAAATATCTCAAAATCAGTTAATCTCAACTGAAACATTTTGGTTTTCTCACTTTCAAACTCCAATTCATGGACTTCGAAGTAAATTACGACAAAATGGAGTTCGGATTAGGTCTCAAGATGTCGAGACAAACCAACTCATGAAATTCAGGATCGACCGACCACCATCTACAATGGTCGAATGTGTTTGACGATGATGTCCGACCACCTTCTATTTTTATTTTATATTTTTAAAATTATTTTATATAAAATAATAATAATAATTGTTATGTCATACAAAAATAATAATAAAATAATTTAAAGTGATCAAAACTGAAACAATTCAAAAGTTCGATGAATAAATTAAAAAAAATTAAAATATGATGAATAAAATAAGAGAGATAATACAATTCAATGAAAAATAGTGTAATGAGTTGTTTTTAACGAGGGTTGAACCTATAACAGAAAAAAAGATTTTAACCGAAAACTTTTAATAATCTATTCTAGAAGTTGTTAACATCACTCTAAAATTTTCAGTTAATTCAATTAATTAACCATTTTCAAACTGAATTAACCAATAACCGAATTTTAAACAAATCATTAATCGTTAACTGATCGAACTTTATATTAACCAAATGATTAATTGAAAAATTTTCGATTAGTACAATTTAATCGGTTAACCGAAATTTTGAACACCACAACTCATATGGAGTTGTTAGCTAGTACTAACCAACTTGGCCATAAGATAGATTGTTTTAGTGCTAGAAGAAGAATGAGAGGTCTAAACATTCAAAATCACAGACATTTGAGATCTAATGAAAACCTAAATTGAACAAAACAAAACACCAGCAAAAGTTGCAATAAATTAGACAGACATTTTCTCAAAAATCCCTTCTCTAACAAGACATGAAACAAAAGCTTCAAAAGCCATCCCAGAAAAAAAAAATTAAGCAGCAGCAGCAGATTTCTGTTTCTTAGGCATGCGATAGCCGCCAACGACACAAGCATGGTCTCGCTCGAAAGGTTCAAGAGTGACTTGTTCGAACGGCTTGAACTGCTCCTGTTGCAATTTCTTGACTTCGCTCTGGAATACTGCCTCGGCCGGAACCGTCGAGTCAATGCAGTTCGCCTGAACAGATGTTCAAAATTTAATCTCATCTACTCTGCCTACTCGTTCGTTCAATGTCTTACAACGTCGCTCCCCCGAAAATCTAACAAATTTCACACATTTTAAAGTCACGAAAATTTTACTGACCTTGATTGAAATAACAAAATGACCACCGGCTTTCAGGAAATAAGATGCATTCAAAGCCAGAATCCTTGCCTGCAACCAAAGTAACAGAAACTAAGAAACTAAATAGAAGCAAGGAAGATTCGTTATGGCAGTTTCATCCGTAAATGATACAGGACAGACAAGTTGAGTAGGCCGGACGACCGTTATTGGACTAAGGAAAAGACGACTACATTTGCATGGTGGTAGAGCTAAAACAAAAACGACCCGGAGAAATATAACAACATACACACGGTGGGAGAGAGATGGACGGTTATAAATGTGTTTCAAACACATACCGGTATAAAAGCAAAGTATCTATAAGTTCAACTCCATCGATAACGAGTATACTAGAAGAAACCCGAAACACATTACTTAAAAGGACAAAGAAAACACTTTATATAAAAATTCTACAAATTAAGGTTGATGAGTTAACATTGCATCAGAAACTCGAGTTTGCATCACCCATGAAGTCTTGAAGGGGAATCCGAGTATAGTTCATCATTTGCATAAACATAGTTGTGAAAAACATTAACAGGGAGAGCACATATATAAAAAGATTTCGGTTAATCGATAGCAAGTAAACCCAATCCTGATTATATTGTTTTCCACAATTTTCTAAATCAAAAATACAAAAAGGCAAACCTGATCAGGCTGGGCAACATCAGAAAATATCACATCGACCATGCCAACTAGCATCCTGTATTTAGCAGGATGCCTGGCATCTTCGATAATAGGTATAACATTTGTTCGCTTCTTTGCCATGTTGACCAGGTCTCGACCGCTTCTATGAGAAAATTCCACAGCATAAACCACTCCGTTCTGGAAAAATATAAATGAACAAACAATAAGCAACCAGGCCATATACAAACAAAGACATTCTGAATTCGAATTCAATAGTACACTTACAGGACCAACGACATCAGATACATGAGAAACAGTTGTACCAGAAGCAGCTCCAAGGTAGAGAACCTTAGCACCAGGTTTCTTGATCGAACAAACAAATAAAATAAACTCGGGTCAGATCATGTACATTATTCGAACAAACACGAATACAGAAATGCAAAGCTTACAATCCATATGTTATCGACACCACCAAGAACCGCAGCTGCCAACTTGGATCGGAAAGGATTCCAAACCCTGTACTCGACCTTCATCCCATCTTCATTCTGTTAAGAGAAAATTTATGAAAGATTCTTAACTCTTCATTGCAAAATTTACCAGAATCTCGACAACAAGTGTAAGAACAAAAACATGGGTGATCGTTCAACCAAATCAAATCAAAAAAAAAAATCAAAATATTCTAGTTGATCAATCCTATTTTATAACTTAAACTTTATTTCAAATGTTCTAAGTCAAGTTTAAGAAATTCAAGTGTAGTCAATTTGAATTGCTCAAGATACTGTTCAAATTTAATTATAAATATTAATAATGTTATGGTACTATTTAATTCCAATTTGAACATTTTTTGTAAGACAATATATTTATATATTTTTATGATATAGATATATGATGCATAGTTGAGAGACTCGACTTAAACTTGAAAATCAATCAACTAATTACTGAAAATTTTGAGGCATTTGAATTTTGTTTTATAACTAAACTCAAATTTGAAACTTTTTTGAGTCGGGTTTATGATTTATGAGTAAACTCACCATTACCCCTTGTAGCTAAATACAAAGCATATCCAACACATGATGATAAAACACTTAAATAACAGAGTGGGTGATTAAAAAGATACAAAAATCACCTGAACAGCAATCCTCTTTTCATTGTAGACAGCTTCGCCGGGGACCATATTCTTAGTAACAAGAGCATCTTCCTTCCCCTTGGCAACAAAAACTCCCTCATGTCTATGTGGCTCAACCACAACCTTGCTGCCGCCTTTCATCCCTCCTCTTCCTCCACCGCGTCCTCTTCCTCCACCGCGGCCACCTCCACGGGACTTCATGCCACTGCCACCCCTATCACCACCTCTACCGCCGCCGCCGCCGCCGCCTCTTCCTCTCCCTCTACCCCCATCACCTCTGCCCCTAAACCCGCCACCACCGCCACCACGGCCTGCACATAATCAAAACACAAGATAACATTAACTTACACTACAATCATTTTTTGAAAAATAACCATGGGTCTAAGTTGTTTCAAGTTTTAACAAAAGAAGAAGGAATTTGATACCTCTTGGAGGTCTCATCCCTGGTACAGTTTGATAGTAAAGATAGTGAAGAGAAAGGAAGGAGGCGAAGCAAATGAAATGACAAGGGTAAAGGAGTAGAGGCTAGGGTTTATGCATTATATAGAAGGAAGACTATGGTTTTGTATAGGAGCCAAATAGGGGGAGGGGGTTTAAAGGACAAAGGGCCGCTGCATTTAGAGAAACTGTAAAAAGGAATGGGCTTTGTTGAACCCTTTCTACATGGTGTTTTTTTTTACTATAAGGCCAGGTGAAAAAAATTAATTGGTCAAATAGTTCAGTTCAAAATTTATTTTGTAATCTACGATAAATACTATAACTCCTTAAATAATTATATATTTTATTAAAATTCATCACGTAGATACGAAGAGTTTCAATTTATTATAGTAAATACCGTAAAACCCTAAATAATTTATTTTATACTATATTGAACTAAATAATTACATCACCTAATATATTAGGTCAATTTTACCCTTTCTACATCACTCAGCTCTGTAAACCATTTAAACAATGGGTCAGAGTCACATAGCCCAAAGTTCCAGCCCAAACATTCACCACAATTTCACACCCTAGGTGAGTATTCGATCATGTTGACCGAAATGAGTCAAAGAATTTCGAGTTAATAGAGTCGATGAGTCTTGTTATATTATTTAAAATTTATTTAAAATAACTTTGAGTTTGATCGAGTTTATAAAATTTGAATCAAGTTATTTGAATTTCTATTTAAATTTAATTATAAATATCTATAGTGTTATGTTACCGTTTGATTCCAATTCAAACGGTTTTCTATAATTATATATGATATACATATAGTTTTCTTTATATTTTTCTATGCGATACACATACCATGCAAAGTTGAGGGACCCAGCTCAAACTTGAAAATCAATCTATTGATTACTAAAAAAATTGAGTTATTCGAGTTTTATTTTATAACTCGACTTGATTTTAAAGAAAATTAGCCAAGTTTATAAACTCACGAATCAAATTGAATAAAAATTAATTTTTTCGAGTCGAGTTAAATTTTACTCACCCCTGGTGTGGAGAGTTGGACTACAAAAGTTAACCTTATTAACAATATCTATTTTTTTTTTCTCTTAATTAAATTTTTTAGATACTACTTTGATTTGATTAACTAAAAAAATTATTTATAATACTATTTTAAATTTCAATTACTCATTGAACACTTGTAAATATATTATATGATAATTCATTCATGTGTGTGCTATATTAATTTTAGGATAAACTACGCATTTAGTATCCAAACAATCAATTTTGATTAGTTTTATTATCTAAACTTCTAATTTTTTCAAAACCATACATAAAATTTAATTTTTGTTTCATTTTAGTACCCTGTTTAAATTTTAACATTAAATTTTAAATATTTTTTTTAAAAGTTTAAGTATTAAAACGGATCAAAACTAATAGTTTGTGTATTAAACGCGTTTTTAACATTAGGTACTAAAATGAAATAAAAACTAAATTTTAGGTGTGATTTTAAAAACATTAAAAGTTTAAATATTAAAACAGACCAAAACTGATAGTTTAAATACTAAATATGTAATTTACCCTTAATTTTGATTAATTTTATTTATTTATATACATGTCTAATTATTATTAAAATCTTAAATAATTTTTAAGATGCATTTATTAAAAAAATATCTTAAAATTTCAAACTAAAAGACATATTAACGTCTCTAATTTTTCACCGCATCTTAGTTCTTAAATTAATCAAATTTTCCAACCAACATAAAGCAAGTCTTAAGTTTAACTTCTGTTGACCTCTATCACGTTTGTGAACAGTTGTTGATGGGGTAAACTATATATTTTGTCACTTAACTATCACTTGATTTTGTTTTGATCGTCCAACTATTTTTTTTAAATCATACCTAAGATTACGTTTTATTTCTGTTTTGGTCACCCAAAATTAAAAAAGTAACGGTAATGTTGACGTATCACTATAAGATAATACTAAGTCATCATTGAAAACAAATTAAAAAAATATCACATCAACATTTCTATTTATTTTTTAACGGCAAGTCACAAAAATAGAACCAAAATGTAATTTTTGATATGATTTTGAAAAAAATAATTGGATGACTAAAATGAAACCATAGTGATAATTCGGTGACTACATGCATAGTTTACCCGTTGTTGACGAGACTGACGGTGAAATCCCACGGTTTCCTGGCCAACTCATTGTCATTAGCTTGTGAGCAAGTTTCAGCAACATTACAATCTACAAAATAGAGACCACTCTTTTCCTTAACCTGTGGATGCAATGCTACATAGCATGTGGTTGCAGCCCCCTGAAAACTCTCACGAGAAAGAACTTATAAAATTTTAAAGGGCGAAAACAAATTATCAATAGAAAATATAAAAAAATACTTAAATTTTACGAGAATCCGAAATTTCCAGGAAGTGACCACCCCGTCAGCCACTCTCGGTCCATCCTTGAACCCAATGCAAGCAGAGCATTTTATTATACCAAACATAGAGTTATAAATTTCTACACACCTGCTCCACATTTTTGAAGACATGTTTACCAAGAACACCAACAAGACCTGCATCACAACCAGGGGAAAATAAAGGATAATCATCTCCTTTTCTTTGGTTTTTAATCGGAAACAACATGCAGTGAACTATAATTGTGATGACAGGAGATTTGAGCATGAAGAGATGATGACTTCACCAGATTATTTTTAATATGTGAATTTTAGATGCAAAAATAGAAGGATTCAGTACCCCTGATAAGGCTGTTATGACGAAAGAGATTAGTCGCAACGGCTCCCGGGTGAAGAGAATTTGCAGTTATAGCCACTTCATCTTCCTGTCCAAAGAACATACATACACCATCAATATATCAGCAGCATGTTATGGTTTGCCATGACTTATCTGTATATGATCAATCAGTTTCATAGTTGACATTCTTGTGCATTCATGGACTAATTCATTCATGTGTGAGAAAAGGAACATACACCATCAAAATATAGCAGAGAATGTTATGGTTGCCATGACTGTCTGTACATGATCAATCAGTTTCATAGTTGACATTCTTGTGCATGCATGGATTAATCCATTCATGTGTGAGAAAAGGAACATACACCATCAAAATATAGCAGCACGTTATGGTTTGCCATGACTATCTGTACATGAACAATCAGTTTCATAGTTGACATTCTTGTGCATACATTGACTAATTCATTCAAAGTGTGAGAAAAAGAACATACACCGTCAAGATATAGCAGCATGTTGGTTTGCCATGACTGTATATACATGACCATTCAGTTTCATAATTGACATTCTTGTGCATGCATGGACTAATTCATTCATGTGTGAGAAAAGGAACATACACCATCAAAATATAGCAGAGCATGTTATAGTTGCCATGACTATCTGTACATGATGAATCAGTTTCATAGTTGACATTCTTGTGCATGCATGGACTAATTTCATTCATGTGTGAGAACAGAAGTCCTAGGTGGCTGATGAAATAACACTACTCAGCATACTGAATTCAATCACCAAATTCCATTAGAAAACCACAATGTATCCCAATTTGGTCTGCAAGTGATTAAGAAAGCTTAAAGATGTAGCAATGAACAAATGTTCCATAAAGCAAAGCCAAACCATTGTAGCATAGAAGAACATAAAGATTTCAAAATATTTTAAAAGTAGTGTTACTGATATCATAAGCATCCTAGAACATGGAAGCGACCTTTAAACGTCTAGCAAGTTGGTTAGCATGCAAGACATTGGCAAGCTTTGACTGACCATATCCAGCTAAGCTGTTGTACCTGTGTACATTGTGAAGTTCATAAATAAAGAAGTAATTAGGTCAAAAAACATGAAAGCTTCCACTATATGATTTAAGTACTGAATGATTAAACGGGAATTACCCTGATCGATCATTGATTTTGTCGAATCGAATCCCTTCTCGATACGAGAATTTGTGACGACGGGATGATACATTTACAATTCTTCCTTCTGTCTTAGTTCCATGTGCTGTCTTCTTCATAGTTTCCAGAAATAGATTTGTTAGGAGGAAGTGTCCTACCAAGGAAAAAAAAGATTGTCTTCATTCCTTTCCTTCTCTCTCTGTTACACTTCAAATCAATCTGTGTAGAACGTTCAAATTTCGAACAATCAAGTTGACATCCAACAATTACTATAGGCCTATTTGCACAAAACCTTACCGACATGGTTCGTTGCAAATTGTAGTTCTATGCCATCTTTGGAAATCATGAATGGTGTGGCCATGATTCCTGCATTGTTACTTCAAAAAGAACACGAATCCCTCTTAAAACCAAGTCATGTTTCTCAAATATAGCAAACATTAGCATATACATTGTAATCCATTTATCCATTTACACTTACATGAGGATGTTGAGTGGAAGACCAGAGGATACGAAATCTGCAGCGAATTTCCTCACTGATGCCGTCGAACTCAAATCTAATTCCATCGCATCGATTTTCGCATCGGGGTTTCTCTTAGCTATTGTTTCTTTAACTTCCCTTCCAGCGCTCATGTTCTTGACCCCCATGACTACATGGACGCCGCGCAGTGCAAGAACTCGTGCTGTTTCAGCGCCGATTCCACTTGATGCCCCTGAAAAAAAATGAATTACATTGAATTTAATCCTTACTTCACTGTATACTATTGCTATGGCCATTTTGTGTCGGTGAACCTAAAGAAGCTCAGTGAAATATATCCAAAAACATGGTTTAAAAGTTGAAAACTCGACTTCACAGAAAATATTACTTAAACGGGTTGATTTTTTACGAAATTTTTTCATAAACCCTAAATTTGTGTGATGTTCATCAAACACCCAGAATGCATAAAAAAGTATAAAATCCATATTATTCCAATTTGTGTTGTTTTGTTGGGTGAGATGAGATGATAAGTAAAAACCTGTGACTATGGCGGTGACGGCAGAGCCATCAATTCCTTGAGTAACTTCTTCAGCTGTAGAAGAAGCTGAGAAACCGGATGGTCCTTCCCTATTAAACAACCACATTTGCACAACTCCCAGCTCTTTCTTGTTTGTTTGTACCAGGTTATATGGTTCAGTTCTTATCCTAATTAGACGCTTCCAAGTTTCATATAATAATCTATTTGCTAAATTATCTGTTTAGTACCTAAACTATCAGTTTTAATCCATTTCAATACCTAACTTTTAATGTTTTCAAAATCATACCTAAAGTTTGATTTTTATTTCATTTTAGTATCTCACCGTCAAATGGTTTACTTTTTATCTCATTTTAGTATCCATTTAAAATTTAACAATAAGTTTTAAAAAGATTGAAAGTTTAGATATTAAAACGGATTAGAACTAATAGTTTAGCACTAAAATGAAACAAAAAAAAAATAGGTATGCTTTTGAAAAAAAACCCGAACCAAAACGGATAGTGTAGGTACTAAATACATAGTTTACTCTAAAATATTTTTTTATCAAATATAATAAAGTATGGTTATATGAATGCAAAATTTTATATTAAGATTGTATTGGTTTTTAAAATATATATATATATATATTAAAAATTTAAAGAATAAAATTGTACAAAATAATTAATAAAATGTTAACAATAATTAACGGGGACAAGCAGACCATTATTAGATCATTTCAAGAGCACGATTAGTTTTGCCTCGGCAAAATGCAAGGACCCAAATGTTAAAAAGCTCAAGTTACCCCCTCCTCTTGGCTTGCCTTGCAGGAGGCATACATGTAAAAGGAAAGCAACTTCCACTTTAACCCCCAAAAAAAGACCTTTCCAATAGCATGGCCCCCAATTTATTACAATTAAACCAAATAAGAAAAAGAAAATAGCAAAACAAACTGCAACTGCTTTTTCATCCTAAGAAACCAGGACGGTATCATAAAACATTTACCGGCAAAACCTGTTACTTTCCCTCAATTTTCCGACGGAAGACCGTTGGTAAAACTGGAGCCTCTGCAATATATATATATATATATAATGATGACCTGCTACTATGTTCATATCTCGACAGTAAACATTCCCATCGCCCCTCTTAGGTTGCTGGCCTTTGTTTCGGAATGTACTTTGTTTTTGCACCTTTTTCAGGCTTTATTCTGTACTTGCCTATGGCAGCCCCGACGGTAGAAGCCTCACAAGCCTCTGCCTTAACCATACACTTCTCAGACGAATCGACTTCAACCTCTGTGCACCCTGGAGGCTCATGGTTCGAGGATAGAACCAATGTCACGTGTTCGCCTGCAATAGCATTCTTCCATCCTACAATGCCAATCAGAAGTTTATCAGAGAAGACCAATAAAAATGGACTCATAGCAATAAAATTGTCACATATATATATCGAACATCCCAACTTACTCCCGGCAAGAAAGGCCTTGGCAGCATTGCCGTCAAACTGCAAGCTTCCTGGTTGCACGCTCTCCTCGAGTGTTGAAGTAAGATTCATTCTTAGTATATCATCACTACCATCTACCGCAGATGGCCTTAGACAGCTTTCACTGGAGGATGAGATCTGGAATGAATTTTCAGCAGTCACTTCCACCTCAAATTCTCTAATACCATTTTGGACTGGCAGTGAACTTTTTCTTTCTTGTCGACTCACTGGCCTCCAAAACTTAATGGTTGATCGGTTTGTAACACCCTGCACATGATCGTGTTTGCTGAACCTCTCCTGAACATTGTTCCTCTTTGGTGTTTGAAACTCTACATGGCACATGTCATGGTCTTCAGCTAGATTTTTTCCAAGTGGGACAGATATAGAGCCGATTATAAGCTCTGGGCTCTTACTCTGAACTAGTTGATTTGAAACTTGTTTCTCTGCTCTAATTTTCAAATTCTCCCCATCACTAATTGCTTTAGGTTTTCGGCTCCACATTTTATTACTATTACCCATTGCAGCAGTCCTTTCCCTGTTTGTTCCATGTTTATTCATGCCTCCAGACTTAAATCCATGAGAATTATGATTAGCATGGAAGCCATTAAGCACCACACGTTGTGATTTCACTGGGGTCTGCCATCGAGAAACAACTGTATGTTGACATCCATCCACTTGCTCCACATGTCTTTCAACATTCTGACTAGTCCCTGGATCACAATATCTGTTGTTAAACCCCATCTGAGTTATGTAATCTACACCCTCCTCAGGATTGGGGAAAGGAATTGGTTCTAGGGATGGAAGAACTTGATCTGTTGATATGACTGCATTTTGTCCATCCATGTCAAAAACAGCAGAAGAGCAGGATGTTTCACCGCAAGTATTAACCTCCAACGAATTGTCCATGTTCTGCTTACCTTCTTCCCTCTCCCAGGGTTTTTGTTCTTTTGCTTTCTGCTCCTTCAGCCTAAGTTTTTTCTGTCTTTTTCTCTCAAGAAGCTCAACTTGCCTAGTGAAGAATCATGAAAATAATCAGCTAATCAAAGGTTGTATCTAGGAACTAACCTTATGTCGTTAACCAATAACACTAAACTTGGAACCGGTCACATGATTAGGTTGTATCTAGGAACTAAAAAGCCCAAGACTAAACTTCAGTAGACTTTAACTGATAAGATAAATGCTAATAGTTTGCCTCTTCAATGCATGTTCTCTAAGAATGTTGATTGTTGGCATAGAAAAATGGTTTCAGCAATTTTAGTTTTCCATACACCTTCAAATTATAATTGCTCGTTTCTTTTCAAGAAATACAAAATTATTTTTACACTGGTATCTTCTTCCCATTTTTCCTCTTTATATCAGTTGAAGAGAAAGGATGTCTGTATCATCTTTCAGGAAATAAATTAATAATTATACCACATGTTGGGGTTTACTAACTTTTGGAAAAGAAGATATTACTCAAAATACTTATCTGACTGTTGTCCTCCCAGACATTACTCAGAGACGATTAAAAGAGTCACTTTCTGTCATGCTAAGAGGAACATTTTTAGAGAAAAGGGGAAAGAAGAAGATTTACAAACGGTCACACATGTCAAATATGATAAAAAAATACTATGTGCAACAAGGAGAATAAGTAATATGCACCTCTTTTGGGCAGCTTCTTCCTCTTCCACTAGCAACTTCTGGCACCTCAAAGCTTCAGCATCTTTATCTGTAAGCCATGCTTTAACCTGAATAGAAAACACAGATTCATAAGCTCTCCTATCATGCTATCATACTGCTTGTCCCAATGGATAGGGATAGCATTATACTTGCCAACCAAATTATTCATAAGTGCGTGCGTGAAAACTTAAGAGTAAATCAATCTTGAAGAGCAGATAAATGAAAAAAGTACCAATTTCTGTTCTACCAGGAAGCTGGTACAAGCAACCAGGTTCTTTGTTTCAAGACCAATCTTTCCTGCTTCCCCATCAAAAATATATTTTTGCATCGACATTGCTGCACCACAAAGGAAAGTCCTTTCACTTGCATCATCAAGGATACTAAATAATTCTCGGGAAGATATTGGAAACCTTGGAGGTCTAGCTTGGACAAGGTCCTGCAAAGATTCAGGACATATGACATCCATAGGATTAGAATGCATTAGCATACTACTTTCAGACCCATAACACAATACATTCCTTACCAGAAGAGCAGATCCTGCCCTCAAGCAAACTTGTGGCACAGCAAGCTTTGATTTCTTTACAAGTGCTGTCAATGATTTTATGATTGATGATCCTGGAACTTCCTAGAAGGTATAGTTAGCAAGGAAGAAATTGTTTAGGAGACAAGAACAAAGAAAACCAATAATTATGCATAACGTGCATGTATATCATATCAAGAAATAATACTTTGGTTACAAGGTAATGTTGTAAAAATAACAAATATAAAATGTAAACCAGATCTGGATGTCACTTGAATATTCTAAATGATGTACCAGGATTAAGTAGGAGAAAATTAAATTAAACAATTACCTCCAATGCCACATCCTTGAATGATATAACTTCCTTTGCCTCATCCTCTGACAGCTGTAAATGATATAAATGAGAAAGACAAGAAATGAGAGTGGATAACCAAAAATGAATATGCAAGAGAGGGAAGGGTGAAGAAAAAAGCACCTTGTCCCAAAATGCCGCTAGTAGGTCCCTATTTTTAGCAGAATCCTACAATGCCAAAACAACATTGTTTAGCAGAGTCCTAAGAGATATAAAAAGGAAAAAAACATCAAAAGTAACCAAGGTAAATCTCAAATTTCCAAGAGGCTAGAATTTTAAAGAATCATCAGGAGAAAAAAGAAATTGCAGGAGAAAATCCCAAGAAGTATCAACATAATAGACTAATCTTGTTTCAAAGAAAGTGAGAAAACCTTATCCAGTTTTTTCAACCTATGATGCACACGTATATGCCTTCTATAGTTAATGGGTGAGCAAAATTCTAGCAAACACTTGTCACACTTTTGCATCTGCACCTTCAGAGGGGTAAGTAAAGGCCAGCCAGGGATTTCTGTCAAGAGATATAGGCAAGAAAATCAAGTAGTGTAGCATCAGTTATATAATAATTTCATACCAATGATTTGAACCATCAATTAATTTTCAAGTACCTTGTTGATCTAAAGCATGCAGCAACTGGATCCATTGAACCGAGCTGTCTCCAGCCCTAGAAAATGAAAGGAGAGGCTCTTTTCCAATTGTTTGTCTGGTGAAAGTGTATAAAGAATCATTTGGCTCCTCTGATTTCATTACATCTGCCGAACTGGAAGCCTTGAGTTTTGCAACAGGCATCTATGCACATAAACAACGCACAACCACTAACTCAAAGATGCCACTGCAACTAAAATGAGGAAAGAGAAGAAATTCAGATCCTGAGAAATCTTCTTACATCCTTGATTTACTCAAAATTGGATCACAATACTAGACAACGATTCAAAAAAGGTGCTAATCAAGCAATATATTTAAAACATGTAAAATGACTACAATAAATGAAGGATACTAGCACTGATAATCCAAACAATGTGGATTTCATTTGCATTTATGTCATTTAACTGAATATACAACACCAAACAAGGTTACATATTGACACTAACCTCAACCCCACCACCGACAGGGAAAAAAGGGGCAAAAATATCACCACATTCGCCTGTGCATCTACTGGACATTGCTAGGTGTTCATGCATTAATAGTGCAACCAAATATCATGGAGTAAAAGGAAAAAATAAAGTAATATACATCTGCCTGCTTCAAATATCTTCTTAATAATAATAATAACAATAATAAATCAAGATATGCCAAGAAACATTATCTATTTCCGAAAATGCACAATATGCATGTAAGTCATTCCTGTTATGGTAAGCATAGTGATGGTAAGCATAGTGACAAGTGCAGTAACTTTATGCTCATGCTTAGCAATTCTGAAATGAAAAATAAATGCAAAGATCAAATATAGAAATATCCTAAGTAAACTGAAATCATACAGAAGAGTGCATCTATTTATAAAACATTGAGAGGAATTCTCATTGTCCAAATCTGAAACCAAGCACTAACCATCCAATACACAACTTATGCCACAAATGCAAGCAAGAAAATTTCTGCAGCCAAAATACCAGCCATTCATGACAACAATTCATTAATAAAACATTATCTAATTCCGAAAATGCACAATATGCGTGTAAGTCATTACCGCTAGTAACATATTTCGCAGCAAAACAACCAAATAACTATCCATCTGTAGGCAGCAAATATTTTAATTTTAATAGCAAGTAAAGATTTCCCCAGCCATTACTCAATAAAAATGATAATCAAAGATTGAGGAAGAACAGAGTCCAATAAACTCGGTCTACATTTATAAATAAATAACTTCTCGAACCTCATTTGTCCATTACCAGCAATAAAGGGAGGCATTTTCTAAAACTTTCCTATTCTGAGCCACAATATATTTAATAAACTTAGTTTTGGCCAATTTCCATTATTCACATAACCTAAAATTCAAACCCCGACTTTCTAGTTCCAATTTTTAGAGCACGTAACAGCTAAACTCCATACAAACATAAGAAACAATAAAAACAAATTAAACGACAACAGAAGTGGATAGGCCTCCGAGTCACGTGATCGGCGATAAGGCTTGAATGTAAAAAGAAACACAAAAATATGAACATAAAAGAAAGGTTAGCGAAGCGATCGGTTAACGTACCACTGAAAGAGTGAGAGACAGAGAGAGATCGGTTAGAGGAGAGACAGAATCTTAAGCAATCGCAAGGATTTAGAGACGAGGAGCAGGGGATTGGGGAGTGTTTGATGAAGGGAAAATCACCGAGAAAATGCAAGGAAGTGATCGGCCGAGAAAATTGATGCTGGAGGAGGAAAAAGAAGAGTTCTGAGGGAGCGAATTGAAAGAGAAATATATAAAGGTGGAAACGAGGAACCCTCTTCAACTTCTTCAACAAGGCATTTTTTTAAATAAAAATGAGTTAATTGTATTATAGGTTCATAAACTATAATTTTTATTTTAAATTGGTCTTTAAATTTTTAAATATTTCATGTTCACCCTTACAATATGACTCTCATTCTAAATTAATCCAAAAGCTTTTGAATATTTTAATTTCATCACTAAACTATTACTCTTTTTCTAAATTGGTCTCAAACTTTTAAATCTTTTAATTTCATCCCCAAATTCATCCAAATATGTAATTATTTTTAACCGTAGTTTAACCTGGATTTTTTAATATATAATAATATAACTTGGCTCAATATTTTTATTAACAATAGATGTGATTAGTATATACGTATAATTTGGAATGAAATTAGATTGTTCAAAAAGTTTATAGACTAATTTAGAATGAATGTCATAATTTAGGGATAAAATTGAAATGTTCAAAAGTTTAAGAACTAATTTAAAATGGTTGTTAGCTGTTAGGGATGAAATTGGAAAATTTAAACATTTAAAGTCTAATTTAAAATAAGAATCATAGTCGGATGATCTGTGATGCAGTTAACTCAACAAAAATTGAAAACGAAAACTTCCATGATTTTGACGTGGGAGATATTCGTGGCAACGTCATGTTCTCACTCCTCGAGCCCTCCAATTGAAAGCCCCCATAGGCCACCTATTTTACACTCTTCCAAATTCAAGACTCATTGTTGGGCTTTGGGCATCCTCTCTTCAAATTAATTATTTGGGCAAACAACATTGGTGGTCTCTTTTTTATTTCCAGTCTATTTAATTTTAGTTATAAGTTTTGAAAATATTACGTTTCAGCCACTTATTTTCATTATATTTTCACCACTAAATTACAATCTCTCTTGTCGGTTGCCGTTGTCGTTTTCATCTCCCTAACCTTAATTCCATTTCCTCTTATCACCTCCTAGATCAGTTGTTACTGTCACTCTTTCCATTTTCCTCGTCGTCATCATCGTCCTTGTCATCTCCCTTATCGTCAGCCACTAGAGTGATGGTGGATTTGGGTCTTTAGAATTTAGGGATTTCAAATTTAATTTTTCTCTTGCCATGAATGAAGGTTCGCTCGTCAATAATAGTAACGACGTTGGAGGTTTGATCATGTGGTTATTCGTCGACGACAACGACGACAAATTACAACGGTCGACGTGAGTAAAGGAGTTTTGAATTTTTTAAGATTTGAGAAAAAATGGATTTAAAAAAAAAGAAATTATAATTTTCATTATTTTATTTCAGATAATTTTTTTATAAACGAGACATGTGTCAGATAACGATTTTTTTAACGATCGTGATGGACTAGGTACTTAAAATGGCAATGTTAGTAACATTAAACACTTATAATTTGGGTATTTGTTTTCTATTAAGCCTTATTGACGTTTGGTTCATGGAATGTAATATTACATTTAACAGTAAGATTACCATAATATAATATTATTACGATGATGTTGTACTATTTTTTTAACGGAAATGTAAGATTATAACATTTAGTTAGAAGAATATAAGAGTATTTGAATGTACATTTTACCAAATTATCCTTGTGATATATACTATTTTCAACAAGTTAAACTTTAATATTAAATTATAAATATTTAAATAAAAATTCATAGAAGTATCTTAATCATCACAATATATAACTTATGAGAAAAATATATAATATATACTCAATATAATTAGTATATCAACCAACAACTAGTTGGTCTAGTGGGATTAGACACCAGATCTCTTAAGCAAGGTTAGGGGTTCGAATCCTTACCATTGCGAATGGAGTAAATTAGGTTAGAAAGATTATCTTGCCTTTACAATACTCGATCTGGATTAGAATGACAATAAGACCAGCGTTGATGTATGGATCAGAATGTTGGGCAATCAAGAAGGATCACGTAAGGAGGATGGAGGCCGCAGAAATGAGAATGTTTCGTTAGACATGTGGTAAGACTCTGTGGGACATGACACCAAACTCTGCAATTAGGATGTCCTTGGGGGTGGTGTCTGTATCCGAAAAATTGAGGGAGGGAAGACTATGGTTGTTTGGGCATGTCCTTAGGCGACAACCGTCAAATGCGGTCAGGAGGGTAGAGTCGATTACAGTTGAAGGTTCCAGAAGAAGAGGACGACCAAGGAGGAAGTGGGTAGAATGCTTGAGATCTGATTTGAAGGATTTAGCACTTACCGAGGACATGACCTATGACAGGAAAGTATAGAGACTTAAGACCAGGGTAGCCGAGTAGTGTGGGTTATAGCCATGGGGTGTAGCATCTCTGTCTTCTTTTTAATGCCTCTGTAGTAATTTCCATGACTTCTACTTCTATACATTTCTGTCATTGGAATCTATGAAGGCCCAGTACTAGAGTAGCGGAGCAGTGTTGCCTTAGTTTAGGTGGTAACCCATTTGACTTTATTCCTTATAGTAGCTTGCTATCGCTGACTACTGTGTATTTCTTCCCTTCATGTTTCCTCTTTTTAAATTTAGCCGGGACTTCCATTTCTGTCTATATACAGAGATTATTACGCAGGGATTACTTCCCATTACAGACGCACATATGAAGACTGCATATGAAGACTGTTCAACTATGTATTTATTTATACATGCATTGTATTTTATCTTTATCTTTATCTTTATTATCTTTATCTTTATCTTTATTTTTAATTTCCTTGACTGTCAGAGGTCTTCCACGGAAGCTGCTCTCAACTTGGCGTTGGGGTAGCCTACTACACTACCTCCCTTTACCCCATTACATATGAGAATAGGGTTTTGTTGTTGATCTGGATTAGTTGATCAATAGATTAGATATTGGTGGTTATACAAAAAAAAATATAATTAGTATATCAAACTTTTGTTTTTAAATTTTTATAAATATCATATTTATTTATATAAAATATAATATAATATGAAAAAATAACATTATGATCTCAAGTGGATTAAGATATTATTTTTTCATTATATAAGATTCATCTTTTTTATTTTTAATAACTTAAAGTTAGATTTGAATTCTAATTTTTTTCATTATGTTTCTATTTTTTGAATTCTAATTTTTTTAATTAAAGTTAGATTTGAATTCTATTTTTTTATTTTTAATAACTTAAAGTTAGATTTGAATTCTATTTTTGATTATAAAATTAGATTAACTTTTTTTATATGTAATGTATTATTTTAAAATCTATTAATAAAACTTATGATAACTATAATTATTTAAAAAAATAATTAAATTTTATTGAATTTATTGTAATAAAATAATATTATTTTTAAATCATAAAATTATAAATGGTTAATATATTAAATATTAAAAATATAAAATAAATTTAATTACTCAAAATTACTAATATTTTACTAAATCAAACTCTTTTTACATTATTATTATAACTATATTTTTTTAGTAAAACACAAAAAAAATAAAAAATAAAAATGATTAATATGAAAATAACTAATTATTTTAGAAGTATTTTTATCCAAAATTATAAGGATTATATAATATATAAAAAATTAGAGATAATGACATCCTTGTCATTTTAATAAAAAAATTGTTAATAATAAATGATTTAAATATAAATTAAGTGCCCAAACTATAGAAATTTTCATGAATAGGTGTCTAAACTATTTTTTGAATGATCTCAGTGCCTATCGTTACAAACGTTACCACTTTAGGTGTCCGGACTGTCAACATAGTTAATTTCCTCCATTAAGTTGCCCTTTTCGGACATGACCACAACCACAAACATAGTCTCTATCATCCTCTTAGTCATACGTAGCCGTCGTTGCCGTTGATTGACAGTCAAAATCGTGTGGGATCGCTATTTTCATCATAGGGTTCGAGGGGTATAAAACATCGATTCGTCGTCGATTAATCAGGATTTCATAGGGGTTATGGTCACAGGGGAGGTGAGGTCAGGTGGAGCTTCGTCGACGATAAAAGGTGGCGGTCGGCTTGGGTTTAGGGGTTGAAATGAAGGTTTTCAAAGTTTTGGGGTTATTTTGATTTTTTAATTTTTTAATTTTAATTAAAATTTTTAAAATTACTAGATTATGACATGTATCACTTAATAGAGAAAATTAACGTCGTTGACTGCCCATGCACCTGAAAGGCTGAAATGATCATGTTTGTAACGTTAAGTATCGAGATCATTCAAAAAATAGTTTAGACGCATTCGTAAAAAATACTATAGTTTGAGTATTTATTTTATAATTAAACTATAATAAATTATTATCTAATAATTATATTTTCTAGAAAACAAATGTCACAATATAATGCTAAAAAAGTTTATTTTGTCAACCAAACGTCGAATCAAGATCTCGTTTCTGGAAGAGAAAATAGGTAACTTAACTATATTCTCAGCTCCCGCGCCATCAAAACCACATCCGATAGGTAACTGACCTTATCCCTCTAAACAGGCGGCGCGACTACTCCATAACGGCTTTCATCCACCGTAACCACCACCGGATTTCCCAAAACGCCCTCTCACCTCCGGTTCCATGAAACACTTGATATAATGCGAAACTCGATATTTAATGGTCATACCTGGGCCAAATCCTCAAAGACATTATTAACTCCACCATTTCACACTCTTCCTTCTCTACTAATCATTTCACCCAGAAGAAAGCTTACATGTCGTAATTATAATTTCACGAAAAAGGGGTGGAATCAACATCATCGGAGCCTGATCGGGACTCGCAGTGGTATATATAGGATGATGCTTTGTTCATCAGTAGAGACTACTGATATTACCTCTGCTGCTGGTGGTTGTGGGCGTGAAGAGAACGGGCATCTCTGCAATTTTAAACTGAGCCATGCCACTTTCTTAGCCTCTATGATGCCAAAGAAGGAGATTGGAGCTGATCGCTTCATTGAAGCCCATCCTCATTACGACGGTCGCGGCTCCCTCTGCAATCATTGGTACTCTTTTTATTGATATCATTATTTAAAAAAAGAAATCGGATATGAATAGAAATGAAAACAAGATTATGATTTTTGTTTTGCTTTGTTTTTTTTCTTCAGATTCTGGTGTTGATCCGGCTGCTGCTGGCTTGCAACTAACTTCAGATGGGAAGCCAAAGATCTTGGATGTTATTGACTGGTACTTCCTAGCCTTCTGCACTATTTGAGTGCTAAGTTGATTATTTTCATTTTCAATTATTTTTCCGAGTTACTTGATTAGGTATTTATTTGTTTTTTAGTACTGGTAGTGGAGATGTTGATACCTCAAAAGTGGTGAAGGCTGATGAGGACGGTCGGATTCGCAGAGCTTCTGGTTACACTACAATAAAAGTGTTCTGCAGCAACGTTTTAGCGGCGTTTTAAGGACAAACGTCACAAAATTTAAGCATGTAGCGGCGTTTACAATACAAATGTCACAAAATGATACTTTAGCGGCGTTTTTTAAACAAACGTCGCAATAGAGTGATAATTTAGCGGCATTTATAGCTCAAACGTCGGAATAGAGTTGTTTATAGTGGCGTTTTCAACAAATGCCGCAATAGAGTGGTAATTTAGCGGCGTTTTTATACAAACGCCGCAATATGGTTGTTTATTATGGTGTTTGTTCAACAAACGACGCTATAGAGAAGTAATTTAGCGGCGTTTATAAAACAAATGCCACAATAGGGTTGTTGATAGTGGCGATTCTGGTGTTGATCCGGCTGCTGCTGGCTTGCAACTAACTTCAGATGGGAAGCCAAAGATCTTGGATGTTATTGACTGGTACTTCCTAGCCTTCTGCACTATTTGAGTGCTAAGTTGATTATTTTCATTTTCAATTATTTTTCCGAGTTACTTGATTAGGTATTTATTTGTTTTTTAGTACTGGGAGTGGAGATGTTGATACCTCAAAAGTGGTGAAGGCTGATGAGGACGGTCGGATTCGCAGAGCTTCTGGTTACACTACAATAAAAGTGTTCTGCAGCAACGTTTTAGCGGCGTTTTAAGGACAAACGTCACAAAATTTAAGCATGTAGCGGCGTTTACAATACAAATGTCACAAAATGATACTTTAGCGGCGTTTTTTAAACAAACGTCGCAATAGAGTGATAATTTAGCGGCATTTATAGCTCAAACGTCGGAATAGAGTTGTTTATAGTGGCGTTTTCAACAAATGCCGCAATAGAGTGGTAATTTAGCGGCGTTTTTATACAAACGCCGCAATATGGTTGTTTATTATGGTGTTTGTTCAACAAACGACGCTATAGAGAAGTAATTTAGCGGCGTTTATAAAACAAATGCCACAATAGGGTTGTTGATAGTGGCGTTTGTGTAACAAACGCCACAATAGAGTAATAATTTAGCGGCATTTATCCTACAAACGCCGCAATATGTTGTTAATCGTGACGTTTTAATAAAAACGCCGCAAAAACATGAACTACAGTGACGTTTGTTTAAAAAACGCCGCAAAATGGTCAATATATGCTCCACACTTTTCTCCTGTCCAATCCCTAAAATCATTTCAACGTTGCTTCCCTAAAAGGGATTTCTCTGGTACAACAACGACCCTCACACAATTCTAGCCGACGTCGTCTTCTGTATGTCCCGGCGACCAAATTGGCTCTCTCACTAGCGAACAATTATCTCACGATTGCACGGTTTGATTCCTTCTCTCCCTACTGAACTTTTTCATTTATTTTTTGTTGGTATTTTGAAAATAGGGAAAACCAAGAAAGCTAACATAATGGAGAAAAATAATAGATTTCGAATAGGAAAAGAATATATACACATATTGTTTTACTGGTTTACTGCTTGGGAGAAGTGTTTTTTGCTTTGGAATAGAAAAATAATTGCTTTCGAATAGGGAAATAATAGATTATGAAAACGTGAATATTGCTATCATGTTTGTTGGATAATGGAACAGGTTGAAAAAATAGATTTGGGGTAATCGAACATAATTTTTAAATTGGTTAAATTTTGTGTTATTTAGCGGCGTTTGTAACAAAAAATGCCGCAATATATCATACATTTAGCGGCTTTTGTATCCTAAAAATGCCGTTATATACCATACCTTTAGCGACGTTTGTATCTTAAAAACGTCGCTATATACCATACCTTTAGCGGCGTTTATATCCTAAAAACGCCGCTACATACCATACCTTTAGTGGCGTTTGTATAAAAAAACACTTCAAAATCTCAACACCTATTGCGGCGTTTACGAGAAAAACGCCGCTAAATCTCAACACTTATTGCTGCATTTATGATAAAAACGCCGCTAAATCTCAACACCTATTGCGACGTTTTTAGGAAAAACATCGCTATATATCATTAACTATTACGGCGTTTGTTGAACAAACGCTGCTATATATCCTTACCTATTGCGGCGTTTTTTGTTAACAAACACTGTGAACTTTAGCCACGCTTTTTGCGACGTTTGTCATAATGCCACAAGTGTTTTTTGCAGCGCTTAAAAACGCCGTTATAGGTAAAACGCCGCAAAAAGCCAGTTTTGCTGTAGTGTTGTATCATAGATTTTCAACTTCCTAAGTTCCTTGTTTTGATAGAAACAATGTGGGTTTTTTTATTGTTCCTCGAGGCTTCTTCAATTCTGCGTTGAAGTGGTAGCTAAAACTTTACCTGCATTAAGTGATAAGTAATTGGTTATTTTTGTGTTTTGTTATGTCACTGAATATTTATGTAAAAATCAGAGTAATTCCCTATATTTTCTGATTAATTCAATAGGAAATATTGCATCTTTATATATACAAGTTATATCTCTAAATTAAAAAACTCTAAGTTAGGAAAGATACTAATCCTAGGAGATATGATCCCTTAAAACAAGAGATTAGAAAAAAATATTTATAGAATCCCTTAACTGAAGGGATGTTAACAACTTATATATTTCTAACGCTCCCCTCAAGATGGAGAATATACATTGTATAATCCTAACTTGAATAGAATTTATTGAAAACATGCTTTGGAGAAGCCTTAATAAGAATGTCTGCAATCTGTCCTTTTGAAGGAATGTATGAAAGGGTGGTTGTCTTTTTGTTGACTTGATCAGCAATAAAATACCTTTCGATATCAACATGCTTTGTTCGGTCATGTTGAACTGAGTTCTTGGCAATCTGAATGGCAGATTGATTATCACACAAAACTTCAAAGTGATCCTCTTGATTAGTGCCAAATTCCTGTTGTAGTTTAAATAACAAAATTCCTTCGCATATTCCCAATGCTTGTGCTCTAAATTCATCTTCAACACTACTTCTTGAAACGACATATTTTTTCTTACTTCTCCAAGTTGTAAGGTTACCTTAAACAAAAGTGTAGTAGCCACTAGTGGATCTTATTTCAGTGAGATATGCGACCCAACTAGAGTATGTAAAAATCTTAACAGTTTTGTCTTATGTCTTCTTAAACATTAAGCCATGTCCTGGAGTTTTCTTCAAGTACTTGAGAATTCAATTTGTTGCTGCCATATGCTCTTAAGTAGGATTAGTCATGTGTTAACTTATCACATTTATGGGAAATGCTATATCTGAACTTGTCAAGGATAAGTAAATTAGTTTCCCAACTAATCTTTGAAATTTCTCTCTATCTACTAAGAACACATCTGCTTTGTTGAATCTCAAGTTTGCCTTCATTGGTGTATCAGCCGACTTACAACCAAGAAAACAAGTTTCTTTCAGTAAATCAAATACATACTTTCTTTGGTTGATCACAATTCCTTCTTTGATCTTGCCACCTCCATTCCTAGGAAATACCTTAGCTTTCCCAAGTCTTTGGTTTCAAATTCCCAATTTAACAACTTCTTCAAATTTTTAATCTCTTCCTCATCATTTCCAGTAAGAATTATGTCATCCACGTACACAATTAGGATAAATTTCGTAATTGTAGAAGTTACCTTGATGAAAACAGTATGATCGGCGAGGGACTGATTATAGCCGTTTTTAAGAATGACTTTAGTGAACCTCTCGAACCAAGCTCTGGGTGATTGTTTAACCCGTATAGTGACTTGTTGAGCTTGCAAACCTTGTTGCTACCTTCAACAGACTTTAAGACAAGTGACAATTTTATATAGACTTCTTCTTCTAGCTTGCCATTAAGAAATGCATTTTTTTTACATCAAGTTGGTGTAATTTCCAATCGCAATTTACAACCAAACTTAAGAGTACTCGAACAGTGTTAAGATCTTGCCACAGGTGCAAAAGTTTATGTGAAATCTATCCCATATATTTTCGTAAAGCCTCTAGCCACTAGTCTAGCTTTGTATCGTTGGATACTACCATTGGAGTTATACTATACAACAAAGATCCATTTACAACTAACAACCTTTTTTTTCCTTGAGGAAGGTCTGTAACAGTCCAAGTAGCATTTTTCTTTAGTGCACAAATTTCCTCTTCAACAGCCCTTCTCCATTTTGGATCCTTTAAAGCTTCAGCTACGCTTGTGGGGACCTGTTCTTTATCCAAAGTTGTTGTAAATTCTTGAAAAGAAGGCATCAATGAATTATAACCAATAAATTTTCCATTAGGATGTTTGGCGTACTGTCTAACCCTTTTTCTAATAGCAATAGAGAATTCATCTAGAGTAAGTGATGTATGGTATTTCTACCTTAAATTTATTGTGGTCTAGGAAGGAAGCAAAATAACCTGCATAAGTGAATGGCTTAAAGAGATGGTTTGATAGTTGATTTAAAGGTGAAATGGAGGGCTATTTATGTTATGAGAAATGGTAGCGGAAGTATGTTGATATGGCTATGGTATGGGTGATGAAACAAATGATGGTTTGTGAGGATAATATCTTAGAAAGACCAAGGAAGAACCAGTACTACAATGAGTAAAGACCCAACCTTACAAATCTTTCTAAGGGGTAGTAACAAAGGACTTGAACCCACTATCTATAGGGAGATAGGAACCACAAGTATCAATGACAAAGGGATTGACGCCATAAGTAATTAAATTACTTATAAGTCGATAAAAGTCACAAGGACTTGAGAAAAGAGAATAATCTCACTTATATTAAAATGAAACGTGTGATTACAAATGAATAGGACTAGCATATTTATAGATTTTGAAGGGCCATGGCCGAATGGATACATGGTTGTTCGACCATCCCTTGTGTCCCTCTAAAATGACATAATTAATTAAATAAATAACATGAAAACATAGGTGTTGGTTCAGATGAATGGATGGGGCATGTCTCATGGCCGAATAATGCTTGAGTCCTTTCAAGTTGGCACCAATTTGGAGGAGAAAGGGTGCTTGGCCGAATGGTTATTTAGCCATTCATCTTGGCGCCTAAAAGAGGCACACACTTAGCACATGGCTTGGCTGGTCAAAAGGTGTGCACATGGTTCTTTAGGAGGCCTATGGTGTAGCCTTATGCATAGGATGAAGACCAAGCATGTGCAGTAGCCTTGGGCGTGAGTTGAACAATCTTCAAGCTTGCATGTGTCTAGCTAGCTAGCAATGCAAGGGCTGGTGGTGAAGGATCTTCTTATCCGTGATCTCCCAAGCTTTCTAGCAGTACATTCAGCTATGTTCAACTACATTTGATGTCACTTTTAGCAACTTGTCTTCAAATAGTCCAACTACCTGAGATTAGCTAGTCTTGAGCTCCTCCAGCTGAGTTGAGCTTCCCATTGTGTTCCACGAGCTGTCATGATGTTTGTGAACTAATTATGAGTTGCATATGGATCCCAAATACTCTAACAAGCTTCCCCAATATGTGACATGCTCCCATGTACCTACATGTACAAAGAAAACAAGGTAAGTCAAAGGCATTGAGCTTGTATGATCCAATTACCTTGCTGTTGTGCATGATTATGACCTTGTGAGATATGAATGCATGACATGGGCTAAGTATATCATTATATAACATATGTAAGCTAATATATAAGACCTAAGAGCTAAAGTGAATGCACATAAGCTAACAAATGAATGATTAAACATGTTGTCATTTCATGAATGTAATGAATCACGATTAGATGAATGCAAGAGTATTCTAACATGCTTAACATACTTAAAATAACAATGTGCATCAATTATAAAGATGTTTATATGCTAAGTTATTCTTTAGCTATTAAATCACATAACTAATAACCTTAACATGATATGTATTATTATGGCATAGATGATCAAAATAATATAAAATAAGTAAGATATTAAGATGTTAAAGAATACTACATCTCCATATGTTGAAAACGTGCTTGCATCAGTAGGAGAAGTGGACTTGCTGATTTCTTCTTCCATTTCGGTAGCTGGACCCAAATCTAATTCTCGGCAAGAATCAGATTACAAAACAACCTTAAGGATATGTTTTTTTTCCCTTGTGTAGACACGAAGTTGTTTGGGTGGTGTTATTTTTGATAGACTTTTAATGGGAGTAGGTGTATTTTTAGGAAGGGTGTTTAAAGTAGGTTTGGGTGAATTAGTGATAGGTATTTCAAGAGAATCAATGGGATTAGTCACGGGTGACAAATCTGTAGGTAAAGGGAAAAACGGTGGCAATTCTGAAGGTTGAGAATGAAGATTAGAATGAGATATCTAATGTGGTTGAAATTTCCTCCATGTCTCCCCCTAAATTTCAGTTTGAGTGAAATAGGGATCCTGCTCATAAAATGTTATATCCATAGTGGTAAAAATCGTCTAGAATGATGATGATAGCATTTATAACCCTTCTTAAGTGTAGAATACCCAACCAATACAAATTTTAAAAACTTAGTATCTAACTTGGACTTATTAGGAGCAATGTTTTGGATAAAAACAATACAACCAAGGATTTTAAGTGGAAGAATGGAGGAGATAGGTTTAAAATGGGGAAAGTGTTACAAAAATATAGATCGAGGTGTTTGAAATTGTAAAACCTTACTAAGCATTCGGTTGATTAAATATGTGGCAGTTAATAAGGCTTCCCTCATAAATATTTGGGAACATTAGTGGTAAATATAAGAGAATGGGTAACTTCAAGGAGGTGCCTATTTTTTTCTTTCGGTAATGCCGTTTTGTTGTGGGGTTCCAACACAAGAACTAAGCTGAACTATGCCCTTTTCCCTGAATAAATCACCCAAAGACCTAGCAAAAAATTCACTGCCATTATCAGATTTAAAGAGTTGGATTTTATACCCAAATTGAGTGAGAACCATGTTATAAAAGTGGGCAAAAACATAAGCAGTTTTAGATTTATCTTTCAGCAAATAAGTCTAAGTTATCCTACTGTGATCATCAATGAAAGTGATAAACCACTTACAATTATCATCATTCTTCACCCGAGAAGGGCCCCAAATATCACTATGGATCAAAGAAAAAGGGTGAGATGGCTTGTATGTAGAACGAAAATAATATAATTTAGTATGTTTGGAAAGTGAGCAAACTTTGCAAGAAAAAGAATTTGGCCTTTTATTAATGAATAGAGCAAGAAACAATTTTGCAAGGTATTGGAAACTAAGATGGCCTAAACGAAAGTGCCATAACATAATAGTATCAACTTTTCCTAAAGTGGTGAAAGATTTGGAGATCTCGGTTTTAGAAGAAGAAGGTAGGATGTAGAGACCATTCTGCAAGTTGGTCTTTCCAATTATTTTCTTCAAGTTTAGTGCCTACAAAGTACAATCAATATCATTAAAAATTGCGGAGCAGTGTAAGTCTGTGGAAAGTTTATCAACAGAAACAAGATTGCAAGCCAAATTTGTTACAAAGAGAACATTTTTAAGTTCAATTTGTTAATTGAGAAACAACAGTGCCATGTCCTTATATTTTGCACAAGGAACCATCAGTCGTTTTGATAACTTTACCAAAGGTTGGGAAAAATTGCAAAACGAAGACTTGTTACCAGTCATATGATCCATAGCACAAGAATCGAGGATCCAATTAGGAGTCAACTGGGATGAGAAAAAAGCTGTAGCATAAGGGTTACCTTCTGATTCTTTCATGACCAGATTACCCTCACAAGGCCCCTGAAACTTCCTAAACAGTTTTTGAAGTTCAACAATCTGTTCTTTGGTGAAGCTGGTGATAGATATGGCAACAACCTGGCTTGATTTATTATCGTGAGAGTTCTTGGACTTCCAATTCTGAGGCTTACCATGAAGCTTCCAACACTTCTCCTTGGAAGGTCTCCCTCATTTTGAAGTGGGAGATGATTGATGGGTGAGTAAGGCAGATCCTTCAGGAAGGGAATATGATTCATAAGGCAGCATCACACACCTTCGACTTTCTTTCTTCTTAACAATAGAGAAAGCCTCTCGAATGGAGGGAAAAGGAGAAATAGCCAGCACCCTGCCGCGAACCTTGTCCATGTATTTGTTTAAGAATTGGAGAAATTGAAAAAGCCTTCGCTGAGTGAAAATTTACTGGTAAAGGGTAGCATCTCTTGGATCTTCCCAATCATGTTGTGCATACAAAACTAATTGTTGCCAAAGGGCAGTAAGGGTATTGTAGTAGAGAGTGACAGGCATGGTTCATTGCTTAAGTTTGGCTGTCTGATCTTCAATATGATATAATTCGATAATGTTGTCAGTACTAGAGTAGGTTTCACGGACTGCACTCCAGATTTCAACAGCTGTGGTGTAAAGAAGTAAGTTTCTGCTTATACTCAGGGTCATGGAATTAAGGAGCCAAGTCATAACCTAACCATTGTCACGCACCCACTTACAAAAACAGTGTCAGTCGCAATAGGCTTCTTGATTTCACCAGTAACGTAGCCCGATCTTTCTCTGCCCAAGAGAAAAATCTTAACCGACTTAACCGATTGGGACAATTCAAGAAAGTTGTCGCATCCACTTACAAAAGCATTGTCAGTCGCAGTAGGCTTCTTGATTTCACCAGTAACGTAGCCCGATCTTTCTCTGCCCAAGAGAAAAATCTTAACCGATTGGGACCAGATAAATCTGATTGAGCATCAGAACCATAAAGATTTTCTAGATTTGAAGTGATCTTCAGAGTAGGAGAAGATATAGGAGAAGAAGTCACAGGCATGATCTAGGTTAGAAAGAAACCATAATCTAATATGATACCATGTAGAAATCAGAATAATTCTCTGTATTTTCTTATTAATTCAATAGGACATATTGCATCTTTATATATAAATATTTTATCTCTAAATTAGGAAACTCTAAGTTAGGAAAGATATTAATCCTAGGAGATATGATCCCTTAAAATAAGGGATTGTTAAAAAAAAGAACATTTACAGAATCCCTTAATTGAAGGGATGATAACAACTCATATATTTATATAATTCCTATAATTTAACTCCATTTTCATGTAGTTCTTGGTGATTTCTATTCTTTTTATAACTTTCACATTGTTAAGAAAGTATGCCAATCTTCAAATGTATGGAGCTTTAGTGTTTAACTTCTTGATAATGTTCCATGTTGTCTTTTTCCTATTTATTTCATATAGAATCATCAGCTGCAACATCCATTTTAGTTCTGAGTTGACACTTCAAGTTTTCTAATCCCATCTTCTACAATTTGTTAAAAAATAAATTGTAGGAGCTTCATTGGTTGTCAATTCTTCATAGAAAACCCCTTCTGAAGAGTGGCATGTGGGCTATAAATTGATTTATAAACTTTTACAAACACTTTGACTTCACGTCTAAAGGTATGCCGTATTTTCTGTTTAATTCATCAAAAATTTATTTTTTTTATATTTCCCATGATAAATGTCCTGATGACCTACAATTTTTTGGCCATTCTCTTCATTATTAAAAATGCAGAAAGAAGGAAATATGTAAACACCCATTTTTTGTCCGGGTCTCGAAAAAAAATATTATTATTAATAATTTAGTTTACATTATGGTGTAGGCCCAAACGAAGCCTAGATTTACAACACTCAGTAGGCCCGGATCACAAATGGCCCAACATCAGCTAACCTACCCAACTTGAGGCCCAACTAAAGCCCAATTCAGCAGCCAACTGCTGACCCGATTTGAAACCCAAGATCCAGACCCGTATCCGACCCGAGGGACAACTGACCCGACCCGTTTCTACCTAGGGTTTCATCATAACCCTAGGCCACTTGTTGTCGCCGCCGCTGCCACTAAAGCTCATTCCTACCACTGACACTGTCATAAGAGATAAGAAGCAAAGTTAGGAAATCATCAAGCACGCCCCAAGTTGTTATTTTTATATGTAAATCTATGTAAAAATTCGGGTATAAAAACCCGAATGAATGTAAGAACGAGGAGGTGTTTCTCTCAGTTTTTCTAGAAAGAAATAAAAGCAAGAGCAAAGGTCACTGTAGGGACCAAAAATGATATTACACTAATTTGCTATGGATGTTTTAATTATCTGGTAAATTTACTATTTCAGTCCTTATAACTTAGCCGTGTTTTTACATTTTGGTCATTGATCTTTTCGTTTTTAATTTATTTTTATTTTATTACGCATTTTTATTTTATTTCAATTTAGTCCTTGTTAGATCTTAATTTAGCTACTAAATTTTAATTTCTTACATTTTGGTCCTCAAGCTTAATTAGAACTTTATCATTTACATAATCAAATAGGATTAATATTAGAGCCTGCATTTTTATATTTAAGCCCCTAGGTTATTTAATTTTCATAATTTATCACCGTAAGTTAGAAAAAGCCTTAATTTATTTTAGTATAATTAGGACAAATAAAATTTTGCTTGATCGCATTATTTTTGTAAATCTAAGGCACTGTTCACTTATTAAGGAATTAATAGTATATCTCCCGCGATCATGCTCAAGGAGTGACTACTGTTGATTCCCTAAATAGGTCGACATCCTTTTCAAAACCACATCATGTTTCCTAAAAATGAGGCAATGTTAGGTTATTAGGCGCAATAGTTGATCTCCCGCATTTATGCTCGGGGGCGAATGCTATCTCAATAAACAAATACATTTTTCAAACTCTGCATCCATAATGATTTTCAAGTTAAATAAAGACTGAACTCAAAATTTCTGATTTTAAATATAGGGTAATCAACTAGGTACCAATTTTTAGGCGCATGTGGGGTGCTAATCATTCCCCATGCGTAATCGACTCCCGAACCTGATTTATGGATTTTTGAAGACCCTAAAACTCAGTATTTTGATAAAAATAAAATGTTTTATTAAAATCACCCAATTTTTATGGTGTTCCAATCGCACCTTAAATGATTGGTGGCGACTCCTCACATATCAAAACGATTTTCAAAGAGAAAAACCCCGAGTCGGTATCGGCTTTTTCCCGCCCAGGCGAAAAACGGTGTTGACAAATTGGCGACTCCACTGGGGATTGTTGTTTTTTAAACAAATTGAAAGTCGAGCCACGAGCTGGTTACCATATATTTACTATTTTAGAAATTACGAGTTCAATCTTATTTAATTTACGGTTCATTATGTTATTTCAAAAAGAAAAAACATATTTATCTCTGGTTAATGCTTACACTTCCGTGAATATTTAGGACTATTGCATATCATAAGCTCTAAACCCGAACTCTGACCCGGTTTACCTAAGTAGGGAGAAATGTCACACCTCACGATTTGACGTTGAAGCCAACAGTTGAAGATCACGAACCAGCTTGAAAGATTTCTAGAAATATGAGATGATATAGGAGCTAGAGGGCTATCTACCAATGACATGATCCAGACATTTACCTGCTGAGGTAACAAGGTGGACTCGAGACGATTCGACGTCGAAGCCAACAGTTGAAGATCATGAACCAACTCGAAAGATTTCTGAAAGTAGAAGACGAGGTAGAAGCTTTGAAGATGATTCAGTACTCAGATGCTCGTAGGAGCTAGGCAACTTACAGATGGACTAGATCTTCACTTCCCCAGTATACCGAGACATTGTCGGTTTATCAAGAAATGTTATAGGAACAGTTATTTTAGGATCAATTCCTTGTTGCATTTGTTGGGAAATAAACCGAGTACAAGTAATTTCCCTATAACCAGATTAGTGAGAATACGAAATAAAAGCGGAAAAATAATACCCGAAATTGATAACGGAGTTCAGCCAATTGTGCTTACGTCTCCGGACTGCTACAGATCTTTTACTAAGAGAGAAAATTTACAGGTGTTTACAAAACACTCACTACTCACAAGAAATCTCTCTAGTATTGGGAGAAAGAAATGATTTTTGGGATTTTGGGATTAAAGCTAAATGAGCTAGGGTATTTATAGTTGAAACTTAAGGACTTAATCTTGTAAATACCCTAAAGCCTAGTGATTAATTGTGATTATCCGTTATCATTTTTCAACAAACATCTACCAAACTTTGAAAAACTATTTTTCAAAGAAACATTTACCAAACTTTGAAAACCATTTTCAAAGAAACATTTACCAAACTTTGAAAACCAATTTTTCAAAGTTGGTTGCCAAACTTGAAAACCATTTTTAACAATACTTTCAATAATCTCTGTAACACCCCCAACCCGTACCCGACCCGGATACGAGTCCGACGTGTCACATTGACTTTTCAAATCTTGACTCTTAAGAAAAATCCCGGGAAATTTAAAACTTTATTTAAAACAAAATACAGACTTGATCAGAGTGCTCGTACTTAATGACTTATTACATGCCAACACTTTATACATAATCAAATACATACTTTGTCAAATACTTCTGATCTGATCTTTTAGTAATGATACTGTCTTTGCCACTTCTATTCTTTCACTTCTCGTTCTTGGTACCTACGTGTAAATCACTTACACGCTAAGTCATAGACTTAGTGAGGCATATAAAACATATAATATAACCATATATCATTTCATATAAATAAAAGACATACATATACAAACACTATCAATAATCCTTTCCCCTTACCATATACTCATCATATAACACATATAATTCATGTATGTGCATTCATATCATTGAATCACTACATATCAATATGCATGAATCTATGGTATGATAACAATATACAATCAGGTCATGCACACATGCAACTTACCTTCTTTTATCACTTTCACATTCATTTGTCTTTCAATTTCATTGCCCATGTATATTATTGAGAATAGAGGTATGTGAGTACACTGAGGTTGTGCACTAATGCTGTCACCACAGCTCGTATAAATGTCCCGAAGGACCTATCCAGAGGTCACACAGACCCCGGTAACTATCCAGAGGTCATAAAGAACCTCGACAACTGTCCATAGGTCCCAAAGAACCTAGGTAACTGTCCATATGTTCCTTAGAACATAGGTATACTGTCCATATGTCTCGAAAGACATAGGTAAAACCCTCGACTCTTGGCATGCCAACTATACCTATAGCTCTCGTATCATATACTATGGGCATTTATTTATACATTTCGTATCACTTGTTCTTTCTCTTCTGTCACATATCACATGTATGTGTAACCATATATCTCATATCATATCACATGTATTATATATATACATGTATTCATGTAAATCATTTCATGTAATTCATATCACGTATATCACATGTGCATATAAGCTTATAGCTTCTTTCACATATACATGTAGTCACATAGCTTTCTTTCATGTAACCATGCATGTCATGTCAAATAACATATATCATATGTTGCATTTTCACTTAAGCATATAAATCATATAACATAGCATCTATCTATTTCTATGTATTAATGCATACATGGTAATCACATAACAATTTAGAAGTTACTTCTTACCATAGTAACTCCATCACTGGCTCATCACAAGCCAATGTTAATTCAATAAAATAAGTACAAAATAAATTGCACTCACCTTAGCTTTGCTTTGATTCGATTCTAATTCCTCAATTGTCCCGAAACGGATCACTTTCTATCTCTACATAACAATACACAGATTCATATCAATATTCCAATTGATATATTCTAAACTGTCACTTCTTAGGCTAAGAGAAAAGCCCATTTCCTCTTTCAATGAATGTATGCATCGATGCACTACTTGTGCATCGGTGCATAAAATGCATTCGATGTTTTTATTTAATGGGGATGCATCGATGCACTCCTTATGCATCGATGCATAAATCCTATTCGATGTTTTCTATTTAAATTCATGCATCGATGCACTGCATGTGCATCGATGCACTGCATGTGCATCGATGCACCTTAAACAATTTCTGGTATTTATCATCGATGCATCGGTGCACAATGAATGTGCATCGATGCACATTGCCCAGAACTGACATTTTAACACGTAAATCATCAACTCTTCCCTTAATTCTTCTATTTTAAGCCCCTATTTTGACATTAAACTCAACTACTATAACTTGAACCAACTTATATCCATGTAAATCATCTTTAACCTCAAAATCCTATCTTCTTTATGAGATTCAAGAATCATACCAAATTTTCTATATGATCTAAATCCAATTCTATCACTCCAAATCTCTTAATTTAACCATTGACAAGTCAAATTTAATTTCCAATCTAAGAAATGAACTTTATTCCAAGATTTCATTTGTAAACTCTAAATCTTTAATCTCTCCTAACTCCACCATCCTTTGCTTTAAAGATGATTTAAGCTTTCCTTAAGCTTAGTTATCATCTAATAATTAAAACCCAACCTTAAAATCAACAATTCAATTATAAACAAAGAAACTTACCTTTGGCTCTTGGC